TAAAACTTTTTAGTTTTTCTAGTAGCCCCAACATTTTTCTTTTGAACAGCGAAAACCGCAACGTTTTAGCTGCTTCCTAGAAAAAGTTATTGAGAAAATGACCATCCTTTTTCTATTTTGAAATGGATAGTAGTTTCTTGATTTCTTTCACGAGAATCCTTTCTTCCGTAAATAAAACTTTTTTTTCCGTGCGGTGTATAATAGTATTTTTTCTTGCACAATCGCATTTTGAACACAATAAAATAATAATATAAGAGTAGAGCATTACTATCGATAGGTTCATTGCAGGGAGTAATCGAGGAAAATTCGATAATTATAATACTAAAAAATAGCTAAACTACTAAAAGTAAAAACAGTAATAAATCCCTCTGGCGGAGGATTTCTCAACCCCTCTCATATTGTGTATTGCTGTGCGAAATGTAGTGAGCAGCAGATACACAAGAGCTACAAAAATTAGTAAGATTTTCAGCTAAGTATCTTTCGCATCAAATCCTCCTCATAAAGCACGATTCATTCCAATGAGTGAGTCATTTGAAAGAGTCGCTGCGAATGCTATGGGCCCGTTTTCAACAACGTATTCAAGCAGCAAGTATACTAAATAACTATAACGGATACCTTCGTTATTTTGTTGATGTCTTGTTCAGGCGGTCTGCTTATCAAACGGTAAATCAATATAGTTCTATAACGCGATTTTTAGTTCTTATCGCTTTTTTATTGTATTTATGCTTTATAGAGAAATAAAAACCTCTTTAGCATATAATACACGAGCCAAGCTCGTCTAGTCCCCATAAATTGTAAACGATGCTCTTTGCTTTTTCAAAGCCGCCATCAATGTAAATGCCACCAATCAACGCTTCAACAAATTTATCATATTTCCGGAATGCTTGACCAGAATTTTGATTTTGAACACTTTTGTCGAACTTTATGTATTCATCAATTCTAAGTTTATCAGCTATTTTTCGTTGCATTGAAGACGAAACGAGATCACTTCGTTTTCTACTCAGATCACCTTCATTATCACTGAGATATTTTCGAAATAGATAATCTGTAATGATCCAACCTAAAAAACTGTCACCTAAATATTCCAGTCGCTCATACGTTAGAATTTCTGGATTGGTCAAACGGCAGCTATCGTGAGTTAGAGCTTCTTCGAGAATCTGTTTGTTCTTAAACCAATAACCGCAATTTGACTGTATCGTATACAACAATTGCGCTCGTTGTTTAGCTTCAGAATTTCCCATATCTTGAGAGAAACATAAAAAAGAAAAACTCGTAATTGTAAAGCAGATTAGATAGTAGTAACCTTGCCTACTTAAGATGCCTAAGGTACGCTTCTTCTGTACTAAGTAGCTACAAAGAATATCTTTGTTTTTTTTATTAATTCGTTGTTCAGCGGTCTCGTCGTATAGTAAGAAAAGTGACGATTCACCATATTGACTTTACAGTTTCTGTACAAAACAAAAGGGGGTAAAAAGACACAAGCGTTGCAAAAACAAACGGTAAATTACATTTATATTTTTATTTTTTATTGCTGGAGGGGATATTTATGCTTTTCAGAGAATGTTTTCAATGTTCTTGCAATGTTTGTCATTTTCTCTGATGTTTTTAAAAATTGAAAGTATAAAAGTAGTATAAAAGAAGCGTTTTCATTTTCAAGTATTTTAATGCTTTTGCTTTTTTTGCTTCTATAGTCTATTGATCTCTGCATGTAAGACAAATATATTCAGCTCAATTCGTCTGGCGGAAAAAAGTCGATTTTTCAATCTCTCTCATAATGTGTACTGCTGTACTAAGTATATTCTCTTGTGCAGGTGGCATAACAATATAAATCGTATTTTATGCATTATCTAAACATTTATTTATTAAACAACAAAACGTAGGACGGAGAAATCCATTACATGTTGCGGACAACTGAATGAGTTTTGGCACATAGAAAAAAACCTGAATAGAAAGGACTAAAGAGAGCAAAAAGAGAACAAGCTATTTTACACCGGCCGAGTTTTTGAAACCTGGCCAGATCAGATCGTTTTTTTCACGTTTGAAGTCGATACGTGGAAAGCAAACAGAAACAGTAGTTGTAGACGAAGTGGAGGAGGAAGATGATGATGGATTCGGGTAACTCTGCTATCGAAGTGCAGTTCCGTTACATTTTTTCCATTTTCTTTCTCGTATAATTTTCGAACGGCGAAACATCCAGGGACCTGGAACACCTAAAATTAAAGAGAAAAGTGTGCTGAAGATTTAAATTGTTTCAGTATTCTACATAATCTTTTATTTAAAAACTACAATAAAAATGCAAACAGCTACTTTTCAAAACTTATCCGAAAAAAAAGCAGAGCTAACCAGAGTTAGCTGGCCAAGCCGCAAAGTCAAACTGAGTTTATTTCTTCTAAAATGCAAAAAATATGCTTTTATCTAAAGTACCGTAGGTTTCAATTCTAAGAAAAGGTGTTACTTCTTTAAATATTTAGCTTTCTAAATTAAACGTGTAACCAGTTACGCTGCCTAACTTTCATGATATTTTAGATTTTTTCGAAAAACAGATAAATCAAAAGTAACAAAAGTCGGAAGTTTGAAATTACTCGAAATTCAAAAGTTTATCGATAAATGGGACATCATTTTGATGACTATTGACACTATAGCTGCTATGAACCCTTTGTTAGCTGTGCCATTAACCGTATTGGCTTATCAAAGCATATTAAATTCATTCGTCGAGTATGGAAAACTACAGCATAATACAATCAAGTCCCTTAATTCTAGTACATTAACAATCACTGCATGGTAAGGTGCGGGCAATTCAAACTTCAAGTAAAATTTTTTTTTTCGGCTTTTTTCACATCATTTGATAGAGCTTGAGCTGCTGATTACGAAAATCTACTTTTTAGCCATAGCAAATGCTTCCTTCCGGTCGAAAAATACGAAATACCCGAGAGATACTCGAGAAAATCACATCTTTTTCGAAATATGCAAAATTTTCTACTTTATTTTTTTTCCAGCTTCTGAAACTAATTTTTTCAGATTCAGCATCAAAAACTGAGTACCGAGACGTTGCTAAAATGACCCTAGACCCAAAACCCTACTGGTGGTGGCGCTTCGAATCGCGTCGAGTGCACCACATATAGGTCGATTTTGTAAATCTATCTAGTTTTTCTACGTAAGTGATAAAGGTAAATATTTTATCTCATCCCACTCATCATACCATCAGTTACAAAGTGACGTGTCCTTTTTCTTTCTTTTCTTTCCTGTGTTGAGAAAAATCGTTTTTACTCGTATCATAGTCATTTTAGGCGATATTCAAGGCTTTTCGAATTCAAATAAGACTTTTAGTCATAAACTAAATACAGATTCGGTATCAGCACAAAAACTGAGTCGAATGAAGTGTATTTCAAGTCAATTTGATAACTTTCATTTTTGCTCATTTTTTCAGGTATCGTCGTAGAGCTGCAATTGTTGTATGCAGGTCAAAAAACGAAAGTTATCAAATTGACTTGAAATACACTTCATTCGACTCAGTTTTTGTGCTGATACCGAATCTGTATTTAGTTTATGACTAAAAGTCTTATTTGAATTCGAAAAGCCTCGAATACCGCCTAAAATGACTATGATACGAGTAAAAACGATTTTTCGAAATCTTTTTTCCCATCAGAAAGCTTGATTGAAAGTCAATGTATGAGTATATTTTTCAGAATGTTCTCATCTTAGTAAACTTATATAAGCAGCAATATTTTATTCGTTTCATATTAAAAACAGATATATGCTAAGTTCATTCATATAGCATCCATAAGTGTTAGTTGTTCATCGATTTCCTGCACACGATGATGATTGTCTTGTAATCGAAGAATATTTATTAATAACTGTCTTGCATCATTATAAAGCAAACGTCCTATGCCTCGGTTATCGTCTTTTACACAACTATTTGCTTGCTGGACATACACCCGAGCTAAATCGTCCGCGAGTTGTTTGTATAGATCATCTTCCAAATTAAATACTTCTTGAACTTTGTTGTATTGTTTAGACCATTCTTTATTAGCGTCAACGTTAACACAAAATATATATATCCGACTAATGTGGACTAATTCATTCACTTTTGGTACCACTTCTCGTCCTAAACCACCGCTTGTGATTAAAAATACTATTCGCTTTGGTTCTTCGTGTAAGACGTGTGTAACCTCTTCTGCACTGTCAAAATACATGAAATTCTTAGTTATTTTGGAAAATTTTGTTTTCAGCACCATGTGTGCCTCTTTTCTACCAATTTCTGCATCTAGCCAATAAATATAAGTTTTTGGAAGTACCATCTTGGTATTACATGCCACGGACATGATTCTGTTTCAGTGAATTTATTACCTCAGGACTCTGAAAATCTATAATATATGAAGTTTCAATTCGTATAGCTGGCACTATTTATTTGTTTCTCTTTCTGAATGGCCCCGCATGGTGCAACTTGGTTTTTTCTACATGTTGTATGTATCAGCTCATATTTAGTTAATTTCTTCTCTTTTCTCATCTATTTCTTTCTTTTTTTTCTTTCCGTCCTGTTGTTCGTCAAAAAGAAGAAACCAACAATTTACAATCACTTTTTTTCGTAGCTTTGTGCTCTATCGACAACGAGAAAAAAAATAAATATCAGTATAACATCATTGCCGAAACGTAGTTGCAAGCCTCTCGAAGAGCTTGAAGACAGAACACACTAAACGCTTCTAAAAGTCTCCATAAAGACTCGATAATCGCACTTAATCTGCAGAAACTTGTGTGTGATAATGTAGAAGAGATTAGACGTTACTACTATTGGATTCAAAATACAACGCAGTCGGTTAGTTTTTGAATAACTTTTCATAGAAGATAGATAGAAACCTGCGGTTTCAGTTTTGGAAACTCGACTCCTGTCCGCATACTTCCGTAAGCAAAAACAGTCTTCGACAAAATTTCCGAACCCGATTTTTCAGGAGATCTTTGGAAAACCAGTTTGGTTCTCTCAAAGCTAGCATAGAATATATTTTTTTCCATAGATATATAGTTCAACCAGTAGTAGTCAACAGGGACAGTAGCTAAACACACTGCATATCCCGTTCGGGATACAAAGGTCGAATTTTTCATTAACCTTTACTAGCGCAAAGTCTGACATTATTGTAAACTTCTGACATCGTCACTAGAAAGACCATCTAAAGTTGTATTACCCTCTGTCTTTCTGGTAATCTGATGCATTTGCCTGCCAGTCACCTTTTTTCTAGCCAAAGTTAATGACCCTGTAAAGTCATGTCTTATATCTCAATTGGGATAGACTATTATTTCCACTAATTGCTTATAAACCTAATTAATATAATTGAAAACTCGAAATCTTTCCTATATGTATCCCTAAAACTTTGAGCGAAATCTAACAGAGCGATCTTCAGATAACAGTTGAAGGTACCTTGATTAGCCGACGAAGCAGCGCTTGGGTGGCCGCATTCAGACTGTAATACATCGTTGTTTACAAACAGCCGGTTTATTAAGTCTCAAAACAAAGTAGTCACAATTTTTTTTTAGTAGTCACAAAATTTAACATTAAAAAAACTCGATATCCTAATTGGGACGGCATACCCAAGCGCCAATGGCATATATCTTTATCTGCATACAGAAGTATAGTCTAATCAGGATATACTCGCATAACTCCACTACTAAATGGTCAAATGTTGGAGGAAAATTAAAAAAAGTATGATTTATCAAGTCGTAATGTAAAGTTTTTACCTTAAGGAATAATGTCTACTCCTAGTGCTCTTTCTAATGACGATGTTTAACAGTATACTAACTGACTATATTTCGTTTTTTTCTTGCTGTCGACTAGAGCACAAAACGACAAAAACTGATTGTAAGGATTTCTTTTTTTTGACAAACAACAGAACGGAAAGAAAAAGAAAGGGAGAAAAGACGAGGAAATATAAGAGATTGACTAAATATGAGCTGCATATATAAAACATGTGGAAAAAACCAAGTTGCATCGTACCATGCGGACCAGTTCAGGCAGAGAAATACATTTTTTGCATCGAAGTTCTGAAATGGATGTATTTCAAGCCCGCCATCAAAATTCCGATGGCAGAAATAACAAAATTTTTTTTCTATGCCGCTTAAAGATTTCAACTCTTACATAACTTTATAGCAGAACAAATTCTACATCCAATAGCGCTAAAACGACTCGCTATACGATGGCTGAGAAACAGGAAACACTCCGCATTCGTCGAATTTGAATTTGGACTTGCCCATCTCTGCTAGGAAAAGCCGTCTAGAAAGAAAGAAAGAAAGAAGATTTTTGCCAGGTAACGCTCAGATTGAAAAGCAAAAGATCTATTTTCGCTTTTCTCAGTCGACTTAAGCACAGTGCTACTTAAACTAGTACACGCAAAAAGTGTTAAAATCTGTTCGTCAGCAAACATATCTGTACTGCTCTGAAAAGTTGACACAATACGAAGTAAGAAAATGAAAACAAACAGTTCTTTTCTTTCCAATAAACTGTTCGTTCTCTCAACTGAACGAATCAATAAAACACTATCAACTTGTTCTGCATTCAATGAATATAAAATTAATAATCAAAACAAGTTTTTAAGCGATTTTTCCTCGATCCAAGTCCATCCAAAATATTTTTCGAGTTCAGACCAGTCCATGATCTTGAAAGCTTGAGTCCAGTCCAGTCCGACTTCCTGCGCTTAAAAAATTTTCAGTCCAGTCAAAAGCTTTTCTTTGTTGGTGCCCGCATTCGACCTCGCATAGACGAATCAATGGAAACGACGAGATTCTTTGTGACGATGCCGCCTCGTGTGTCGACGGCGTCGATGTCGATTGTTCGATCTGTCACATACTTGATGTGTTTGCCAGGTTCTGAGTGGCCAGTGGGAACTTCGGTGACGATAACAGCAGCATTTCGAATGGGAGCCATGATTCAAGTGAGAAATAGTTTGAAGTTTGTCGACCGAATATGTGGAAAAGAAACGGGCTTCTTTCTTATATAGAATAGACGAAAGTACGCAGTCATCATGAACAGAAATTACAAATTATTTGCACTGTTCTTTACCCGATCGATGGTTTTTTGTCAACATTATATACTGCGAGCGTGATGAGAAAGGAAAGAAAAGATAGTCTTCCTTGTTCTTTAAAGATTATACATTATCGACAGCAAAAGTAATTTCATCTGTATACTCACGAGGGAACCTCTCGAGGTGATAAAACGCTTGTTGATCGAAATCTAGTGGGTTATAGATTATCGGCCATGCTGATTCCGAATATGATTATAGGAGCTGACCTTAACCGTACGAAGATCCGGTTTTCTGGAGAACCAGAAGTTTTCAGTACGGTAAGTTTTCAGAAACTCTAAAAGATAATCAAGACCTTTCTTAATGAAGCATGATTGTAGACCGCAAATGTCTGATTAAAATGAGATATCTCCCAGCTCTACACGATCTTTCTTTGCAAAGTTATAGAATTTACACGAAAAGTCCTAAATTAAAGCTTTGAGCTGACAATGAACATTTAGGGCTTTTCTTGTAAATTCTATAACTTTGCAAAGAAAGATCGTGTAGAGCTGGGAGATATCTCATTTTAATCAGACATTTGCGGTCTACAATCATGCTTCATTAAGAAAGGTTTTGGTTATCTTTTAGAGTTTCTGAAAACCTGGTTTTCCAGAAAATCGGATCTTCGTACGGTTAAGGGCAGCTCCTATAATCATATTCGGAATTAGCATGGGCGATAATCTATAACCCACTAGATTTCGATCAAAAAGCGTTTTATCACCTCGAGAGGTTCCCTCGTCAGTCACAAAATTGAAAATTGAAAAAAAACTAAAGTGGTCGGATAGGATGGAATTACACATTGGTCGACTCAGTTATTGATCCTGGTTCCGAGTATGATATTTTTATTGCATAAAAGTTGAGTACTGATGGAAAAAAACATTGAGAATTACGAGCAGAATTCTGGCTTTGCAGAAACATTTCTAATGTCAGAGTGCCCTAGGACGCTTTCTCGGTACTATATATATCAAATTGTACCCCGACAAATTCTCTATTGAATGGTATATTTATTGTAGTGCTCGCATGAGAAATGATGAGTATAAAGTTCGGCCACTAATAGAAATACTTGTTATTGAAAAAGACTTTTGAAAATAATTCATAAAAATCAAGTTATGCATCCGATTAGAGTATAATATTCACACATAAAAAATTGATCATGTATCCACGATATCGACAATCTGTTGGAAATCTCACGGCAAACTGTGTCACCTCTCTTTAAAAAAAGTACTTTTCCTTTTGCTTGCTCACTGGAAAAACCATTTGCCCTAAAAAAATAGTCATGTTTATCAGTATCTACGCTTTTTTCCGCCAGGCGTGAAGGTCTGACAGTGATCGGATCAGCTGGGTCGGATGATAAAGTCAAATGGCTGGAAAAAGAACTTTCTTTCGATCATACTTTCAACTACAAGACTACCGATCCGAAAGCAGAACTCGCCAAATTTAATGCACTCAACATCTATTTCGACAATGTGGGTGGTGATGACTTGTGGTGAGCAGCCCTCGACGCAGCAGCCAATCATGCTCGATTCATTGAATGTGGCATGATCTCATGATACAATGAATGTGGTGCTCATGGCATTCGAAATTTCATGCAGATTGTCGCCAAACGACTCAAACTTCAAGGTTTTATCATCTTGGACAAAGCGACTGATCCAGCTTTTCAAAGAGACTCCTATTCGAAAGTTCCAAAATGGATTGCAAGTGGGGAACTCAGGATCAAGGAAGATGTGACTAAAGGATTGGAACATGCTGCTGAAGCACTCGTCGGTATCTTTCAAGGCAAGAACTTTGGAAAGGCGGTCGGTCATTCACATTGTCGACGAGTAATGAATTTTGTGAACAATATTCTTTTTTTAATATGATTTCTTAGCATGTAGAGTGAATAAAAAGGGTAGCTTTTGACGTTTCCGAAAAAAACTGAACATTACGCTCAAATTCTATAATTGGAATGTTTTTAATATCAAAGTATAGTTTATGTTTGAACGCTCCCAAGACAGCTTCAAACGACTGAAACGCCGTTTAAACGGTAGCAGTTCCAAACATGGAAGTAGTTTTGAAATGATGACAATGGCTATAGTGGTTTTATTTTTGTTTAGCGAAAGATAATTGCCCGAAGATAAGATGGAGTGACAGTGAGTTTATTCCATACCAGG